GCAGATGGAGACCTGACGGACACGCTCAGCTGCCCGCGCTCCACCGCCTCGGAGGCCAACGGCAGCAAGGCCTCAGTGAAGAGCCCGACGCAGCGCTACAACCCCTTCAATGAGGAGAAAGCTGAGGCGCCGTCCTCCGCTGAGACCACACCGGTGCACACAGCTTCCCAGGAGAAGGCAGAAGCCACCCCTGAAGGAACAGACCAGTCCGAGAGCTGCACCGAGCTGGAGGTCATCAGGTAGGGCCTGGAAATGTGCCCCTGAGTGTCATCTGTCACCAGGAGTTGATGCTGTGCCGCCCCTTCTAGCCCAAAAGAGACAGCATCTGTGGTGTAGCCTGTATACAACCATGAGACAGTGGTTTTATACCTCCAGACACCCACTGATACTCTGTAAGTGTCAACAGAGCTGGTCCCTTGGGTCTCTAAAGCTATGGGCTGGCTCAGCATAAACATCTTTGCCCGATGGTCTTTATCAGAGAGCCCTGAGGAAGCCGTGGGTTTTTATTTGAGGTTTTCTCCAGCTGGTGGCAGGTTTGCAGCAGCTCTGGGTCTCGGATCTCTCCCGACCTTCCTTTTGTTTGTCAATGAGCTGTGGCTGAACCTGTGGAGGGAGAAGCCTCCACAGACCTGGCCTGTGCTTGACTCTTGCAGAGGAGATCCCCAGGGATCCCTTGGAGCCCTTAACCCAGACAGAGCTCAAGGCTCCGTCTGCTCACACCCAGGAACCGGGGCACCCCAAAACCAGCCCAGCAGGTCTGTGCTTCACTCGCACAGTGATGGGGAAGCAGAGGAGGTGGCTTGCATTGCACCCTGCTGTCCAGCAGACGTGAGGAAAGGGGAGCACCACACTCGCTTCCCAAGCAGGAGTGACCTGGCAGCAGTTTGGGTGCCATGGAGGCCTGAACACTTCCACAGCCACATCCCAAATGGCTGGAGCAGGCTCCAGCCTGCATCTCCCTCTTCTGGCAGCTGAGGACGCAGCATTCCCAGGTCCTTCAAGCCTTCTCCTTTCCCAACACCTTGCTCTCAGGCAGGGATTTTTCCCACCTCACTTCAGCTCCACATCCATTCATGATCCCCTTTGCAGCCAAAGGAAGCCCCAGCTGCATCCAGCAGCTGATTCCTCTTGGGTTGTTTTTTTTTCTGATAGGTAGGAAACAGCATCCATACCCTGCTTTTCTTGTGATGGCCAGCATGGAGCCACACTGAGCAATGTTCTTGCTACAAGGATTTCTCTGCAATAGGGAGAACTGCAAAGGAAGGTTGTCAGGAAAGGGTGGGACCCCTCTCTGTTGCAGAAGTCTTCGCAGGCACAGATGGGTGACACCGTCTCTCGCCATGCAGGTTAGCCAAGAAGAAGAAAACGGGCAAGAAGAAGAAAGCGAAGCCCGAGGAGCCGGCGCACAGCCCTGCGCTAGTAGGGCCTGAGTCGCAGCAGGCCAGCGGTGACAGCGGTGTCAACGGGCTGAGCGACAGAGAAGACTCGCAGCGAGACGATGGCCCTGCCAGCGAGCCCAGCCCGGGCGGGCAGGAGGAGGCCCGGCAGCGCTCTGCCCTCGGCCAGCTGGCGCTGCGCATCCCCGAGATGAAGGACACGTCCATGGAGAGCGTGGGGCAGCCGCTCAGCAAGGTGATGGACAGGCTCAACGGGCAGCTGGACCCTGGTGGCTGGAGCGCCCCCCTCGAGCCCCCTGGGCAGTCCTTTCGGACTGGCACGCCAGGGGAGACCCCGGATGGATCGTCCTCTGGCGACTTTAGCGAGGGGATTTCAGCCCCCATGGACTTCTACCGCTTTACCGTCGAGAGTCCAAACGCTGCTGCACCAGGTGGTGGCCACCATGACGCTCCAGGGCCTGGCCAACCGACACATGTTTCTGGTGGCCCTGAGGCTCCTGAAGAAGAAGCAAGCAGAGAGGAAGAAGCAGTTGGAGCAGTAGAGGAGTCTGGAGGGGCAAGTGATGAACCCCAAACTGACCAGACAGAAACCGCCACCCCCCAGGCTCTCTGTGAGCCGAAGAAGGAGCAGCCCAGCCCTTCCCCGAGCAGTGCTGAGGACTCTGGCGTGGAGGAAGGGCAGGGCAGCCCTTCAGAGCTGAGCCATCCCTCTGAGTTCAGGTGAGGCTGGGTTTGCTTGGCAGGGACAGCATCTTCCAAACAGTCTTGAGCTCAACCTGGCACTTTTCGTTTCGTCCTTGGTTTGGGGGGGCAAAGCTCGTCCTTTTCCAGGGTGAAGATGAGGCACGAGGGGTCTTGTGGGGCCAACAGGTGCCCAAGTCATGGCCAAGTTCAATGAGGAAGGGGGTTGCCCTTCCTGGACCCACCCAACCCCACGCTTATGTCCATTCTCTGCTGTCTCTCCTCACAGGGTAGATAACAACCACCTCCTCCTGCTGATGATCCACGTCTTTCGGGAGAACGAGGAACAGTTGTTCAGGGTAAGGCGGTCGCAGTCAATGTCCTGTGAAGGACCAGCTCTGCGTGTGCGTCGGCCGTGGGCTCAGAGCTCGCTTTTTGTCCACACAGATGATCCGAATGAGCACCGGGCACATGGAGGGGAACCTGCAGCTGATCTACGTCCTGCTGACAGATTGCTACATCTACCTGATCCGCAAAGGTATCCCATCCCCACAGCCCCTCTGCTCAACTGCAGGGGGGGAGGCTTGCTTGATCCGTGATTTATCCATAAATGAGAGCACCATAGCTCACTGCCTTCACTGCCAGCACCTGCCACTCCTGTCCCCAGGAGCAGGCACAGAGCTCAGGTTGACATGTCCCTGGAGGGGTACGTGTGCCCCATGGCTTGGTGCTGCCCGAGACATGACTTGGTTTGCAGGTCCCTCTCTGCTGGCCTGGCTCTGGGCAGCACTGAGCAACTTTGCCCCCCTTCATGTGGCTCTTTGTGTCTGTGCCAGGGGCCGCGGAGAAGCCGTACATGGTGGAGGAGGCCGTTTCCTACAACGAGCTGGACTACATCTCGGTGAGTGCAGCCAGGGGCAGGTCAGCCCTTCTGGAGGAGGAGGTGACCAGGGGAGGGGGGGTGTCACTCCTCACCCCTCCAGCTGTAGGGGTGTCAGGAGCATCACAGTGGGGTGTTTCTGTGGGGTCCTCCACAATTTGACCACTGAATCCTTGACACTGGGAGGGCTAGAAGTGATCCCCTCCTCAAATGCCACTTCTGAGGGTGCCCAGCTCGCTCATATCCCCACACGGGCAGCAGAGCAGCTGCTGACCTCCTCCCCTGGGGCCAGAAGCCAGGCTCAGCCCCTCATCCCCTGCATCCTTCCCTAACCCGTCCTGTGTGGCACAGGTCGGGCTGGACCAGCAGACGGTGACTCTGGTGTGCACCAACCGGCGGAAGCAGTTCCTGCTCGACACCGCGGACGTGGCCCTCACCGAGTAAGCAGGGATGTGGGTGTTGAACTGTGGTGGCTTCCTCTGGGGGTGCAGGACCTCTGGGCACCTTGGGCTCCAGGCGTGACTTGGGGAATGCAAGGGACACCGATGACAGCCCCTCACCACAGAGTCCTGCCACCAGTTTGGGGTTTGGTTCAATGCCACCAGTGAAACCCTGCAGGCAGCAGGAAATGCCGTGAGCATGGATAAGCCCAGAGCGTCTTCCCTGGAGACTGAGCCTCAGGGCTCTGGGTGACGTGGACTACGTGTCCTTTGTGTCCCTTGGGAGGAGCAGGGACACGTTCTTGAGTTTCAAGGCACGTCCCCAGGTGTCTCTGTGTGTTGTCAGCTCAGGGAGGTGACCTCTGTAGGACCTGGATTGTCATCCTGGGATCTGTGTTGAGATGGGTGCCCATCTCCCAGTCTCAGTCATCTCCTTCCTGGAGCTCAGACTTTGCAAACCTTTGAGATTTTTGGTGTGGAAGCCCAGAGGCCCACGTTGAAGGGAGGGAAGCCCCTGTGGCATCAGAGCATGCGAAGGAGATGCTGTTTGCCCTGGCCGCCTCAGAGATCTCCATCTCCCTCTTAGGTTCTTCCTGGTCTCCTTGAAGTCAGCCATGATCAAAGGGTGCCGGGAGCCCCCGTACCCCAGTATCCTCACGGACGCCACCATGGAGAAACTGGCACTCGCAAAGTTTGTGGCCCAGGAGTCCAAGTGCGAGGTGAGTTTTGGGAATTGTGGCCATCCCTACACATGGCGGGGCTCATGGTAGGCTCCCAACTGACTTCTCCACCTGATTCTCGCAGGCCTGCGATGTGGTTGTGCGTTTCTACGGCCTCGTTCACTGGGAAGACCCCATGGACGAGGCACTGGGACCCACCAACAGCAGCTACGCTTCCGCCGAAAACACGGTCACCAAGGACGGGATCCTGCACTACAAGGCAGGGACCTCCTACCTGGGCAAGGAGCAGTGGAAGACCTGCTTCGTGGTGCTCAGGTGGGCACTGGGGCTGTGCATCGGGACCAGGGTCAGCCAGGGCTCCTCCAAGAAGCTGCTGGGACCAGTTTGCTGGGAGTTCTGGGAGATGGAGAGGACCCATCTTATCACTAAAGCCGCCAGTTGTGGCTGCCCAGCAGCAGGACCCCAGCCCCAAGGGTGGAGGGCAGGGCAGTGGCTGTGGCACCACAGGCAAGGGGGTGTTTGTGCGGTTCCTGGAGCCGAGCTGACTCGTTACTGCCTCTCTCCTCTTCCCAAACCGCAGCAATGGGATCTTGTACCAGTACCCGGACCGCACGGATGTCACCCCTCTGCTCTCCATCAACATGGGGTAAGCAGTGGTGGGGTGACTTGGGGATCTGGGGATCGGGAGCTCCGCAGGGTGTCCAGGGAGGTGTTTTGGAGCAGGTCAGGATCTCATCTGTGCCATGGGAGTCCGTGGGTGCAGAGGTTCCCATTGGCTCTGGCGCCAGTGTGTGCAGCTGGAGATGGGCTCACGTCCTCCAAGTCTGTGTTCCCTTCGATGGGGCATTGGCCTCTGCAGGACTGACGCACCCCTCCAAGAGCCACTTTGAGCGACCTCCACCCCTCCACCGTGCTCAACTCTGGCTCCACCACCATGTGCAGAGCTGGAGGCCACCCCTGGAGCAACCACAGGGGGTGGCACAGACGGGAAACGAGCGCCTGTGGGGACAGGGTGACGCGTGGCGCAGGGAGGGCTGTCCTCAGGCTGGCGCCAGACCCATCCCGCTGATCTCCATCCTCCCCCTCTCTCCCAGCGGCGAGCAGTGCGGGGGATGCCGGCGCTCCAACACCACCGACCGGCCCCACTCCTTCCAGGTGATCCTGACCGACCGGCCCTCCCTGGAGCTGAGCGCCGAGAACGAGGAGGACATGGCTGACTGGATGCAGTACTTCTGCCAGGCCGTCTCCAAAGGGGTGAGCGTGGACGGGCCCCGCACGGGTGGATCGGGAAATCAGAATCACAGGAGGGTTTGGGTTGGAAGGGACCTTAAAGCTCACCCGGTCCAACCCCTGCCATGGGCAGGGACATCTTCCACCCGATCAGGGAACTCTGCGCAGCTGAGGGGCACCCTGAATTATCCATGAAATACAGTGAAAACACCAAATACAGACACATTAAATGACTACTTGTGAATTACGCTCTTGGCCATACACATCAGGTGTTAGTCCATTTTTGGGGATGTGGAAGGAGCTTACAACGTGAAGTCCATAGCAACTAGGCAGTAAAATTCACTTTGATCCAATGTGGGACATGGTTTAGTGGCCATGGTGGGGTTGGGTTGACGGTTGAACTTGATGATTTTTGAGGTCTTTTCCAACCATAATGATTCGATGATTCTGTGATTTCCCCAAAACCACGACTCCCAGCAAATAGTTATGATGCTGAATTTAAATTTTTAAAAAAGTAATTTATTTTCTCGGTTTCTTTTGCACGTTGACATTAAATAGTGGCTAGAAAGTGACCGTTTCAAGTTATAGCTGAAAATTGCATTTGTATTAATTTGCATTTTTATGAAATGTGAGAATACCCAAGAAACCCTTCACGCATTTCTGTGGTGAGTCTTCCCATGACACAAGAAGCTTTCTTACACATTTTAAGCTTAAGTGACCGTGCCCAAACAGAAATTTGGACTAAACTCACGGAGCTGTTCACTGTGTTGAGGGAAACCGTGGCTGTACCATTACAAACCAGATTCCCCCCTGTCTCCGTCCCGGCGCAGGTGATCCCCCAAGGCGTCGCCCCCACGCCGTGCGTCCCCTGCTGCCTGGTGCTGACAGAGGAGAGGGCGTTCACGTGCCACGAGGACTGCCAGACCAGCTTCTTCCGCTCGCTGGGCACCGCCGCGCTGGCGGACGTCGCCG